GGCCTCGCGGGCCGCTGCGCTCTCCATGGCCGGAGGAGCTAGGCGACCCCGGCCACGGCCTCCGCCGCCGCCGGATCCGCTGCTTCCTGCGTCCTCCCCTCCCCCGGCCCGGGGCACGACAGCCGAGCTGCCCGGGTAAGGGGATCCAGGAACCCGAGCCGCCCAGGAAGGCGACACCGCGGGGTGCGGAGAGGGGGGGCCCGGCCCCAGGTGTCCGGGTCCTGCCAGAGCCAGCTGCGCTTTCCCTGGGGACGCTGGGCGGTCTGTGGGGGCCTCACCTGTGGAGCGAGAAAAACATGGATCACAAATAAGGACTGGGGCATCTGAGCGCGCCAAGACGCCCTTAAATTCTTTCAACAGCCCTAAGGTGGAAATAAGGTGACCCTGATATAACCAGAGACACATCCTGTCCCTCCTTTGCCCACAGCTCCCACCCCTCTTACGGTAAAGCGTAATTTTTTCCCATGTGGCCCTGCACGACCTGCCCCCATCACATCCCTGTCCTCACCTCCTCCCTCTCTCCCCCTTGCTCATTCCGCTCTCCAGCCACAGGGGCCTCAGTTGTTCCTCCAGCTTGCCAGGCACAGTCCTGCCCCAGGGCCTTTGCTTGTGCTGTACCCTCTGCCTGGAGGAACTTCTCCCAGATCTCCAGGTGGTTCCTTCCCTTTCTTCAGCTCTTTGCTCAAATGTCACCTTTAATGCCTCCATAATCTCTTCCCAGCTTTCTTTTTCTCCCTAGCTTGACAAATCACATATTTTTACTTATCCATTTTGTGTCCTGTCTCCCCAACTGGAATGTCAGTTCCAGGAGGGCAGGGGTTCTGGTCCCTTGTTCCCCTGCTGTATTTGGGTGCTCCGTGCCTGGCACACAGTGAGCAGCGTTCAGGTGATATTTGGTGAGGGAATAAATGGACCCCCAAGTGACAGCTGAAGAAGGAGGCTCTGACACCAGGAGGCCTCTGTAAGACTCCCCTGGGAATACAACACTAGGCATCAGGAAATTTGGCTCAGTAAAAAGTGGTGGACTGCTGTATGACAGTGTAAAAGAGGAGCCTCCTGCCTTAGAAGAATCTCAGAACCCAGACATTGATGGGAAAAGACTTTGGATGATGTAAGAAAATGTATGTATGTAAAGTTTAAAAGCCTACAAACCTTGCCTTCTGGGCGTGGCTAAGTGGTTAAGCATCCACCTAGGATCCAGGAGACAGGGTTCAATTCCCGGTCAGGGCACATGCCCGGGTTGTGGGCTGCAGCGGATCAATGACTCTCGTCATTGATGTTTCTATCTCTCTCTCTCCCTCTCCTTTCCTCTCTCTGAAATCAATAAAGATATATTTAAAAAATAAAATAAAATAAAATAAAATAAAATAAAATAAAATAAAATGCTACAAACCAGTGTGGCTCAGCTGTTTGAGCATCAACCAGGAGATCGATCGCAGTTCGATTCCCTGTCAGGGCACATGCCTGGGTTGCGAGCTCAATCCCCAGTCGGGGGCGTGCAGGAGGCAGCTGATCAATGACTCTCTCATCATTGATGTTTCTGTCTCTCTCTCTTCCTCTCCCTCTCCCTGAAATCAATAAAGATATATTTAAACTTAAAAAGAAAAAAAGACTACAAAACATCACACACACCATGACATAGATGAGCCTTGAACACATGATGCTCATTGAGAGCAGCCAGACACAAAAGGTCACACAGTGTGTAATTCTATTTATGTGAAATGTCCAGAACAGGCAAATGCTCAGAGACAGTAAGTGGATTTGCGGAGAGGAGGAACAGGAGTGACTGCTAATCAGGAGAGGGCTTTTTGGACTGATGGAATCTTCTGGAATTAGATTGTGCCAATGTTTGCACAGCTTTGTGAATACACTAGAAACCCCAGAATTGTATGCATTAAAACCTTTAAAAATGGAAAAAGAACACCCCAAATGATTAAAATGGTACTTTCAGGAAGACATACTCATGTGTTAAAAGTATGTAAAGACTTGCCCAGGGGTGATAAACTACAAATTTGGGATGGAGGTATCTGTGCCAGGGAGGGAGTGGGACTAGGGAGCTCACACTGGGTCAGGGGGTGGTGTGGGGGAGTTGACAATATTCAGTTGTGTCAGTCTCCAAGGGCTCTCATAACAAACCAGGTGGTTTAAAACAGCACATTTATTCTCTCACAGTTCTGGAGGCCAGAAGTCCAAAATCAGGTTGTCAGCAAGACCACGCTCCAAGACTCTGGATAGGATCCTTCCTTGCCTTTTCTAGCTTCTGGTGGTGGCCAGCAATCTTCAGCATCTTGCAGTACTCTGTCTGCCTTTGTCATCACATAGCTGTCTCCTTTCTGTGTCTGTGTCCAAATTTTCATCTTATAAGGACACCAGTCATATTGGATTAGACCCATCCTACTCCAGGATGACCTCATCTTAATTCATTATATCTACAATGACCCTATTTCCAAATAAGGTCACATTCTGAGATTCCTGGGGTTAGTACTTCAACATATCTTTTGAGGGGATGTAATTAAACCTGTAACATGGGTGTTGATCAAATTAGTCTCCAAAAGTTTTAGAATGTTTTAAATAGTCCATTAAATGCCAAAGTCTCTGAGTTTCCTCAATAAGTTAAGCATAGAATTACCATATGTCCCAGCAATTCCACTCCTGGGGATGGACCCAAGAGAACTGAAAACAGGTGCTCAAACAAAAACGTGTACACACATATTCACAGCAGCACATTTCACAAAGTCCGGGAGGTGGATAAACAGCCCAAATGTCCCTCAATGGATAAACAGAATGTGTCCATCCACACAGTGGAATATTAATCAGAAAAGGAGTGAAGCACTGACACTTGCTACAATGTGGATGGACCTTGAAAAAAGATGCTGAGAGAAGCCAGACACAAAAGGTCAGAGTGTATGACCCCATTTATGTGAAATGTCCAGAGCAGGTAAATCCAGAGACAGAAAGTGGATTCTTGGTTGTCAGGGGCTGGGGGAGGGCAAGCCTGGGAGCCCAGAAGGGGCATCTTGAGGGGTCCTGGGCACATCTTCTGGCCCAACCCCCTACAAAACACACACACACACACACACACACACACACACACACACACTCACAAGCTTGAAATTCAAATTCCACTTTATTTTTATTTAAAAGTCCAGATTAAGCAGTTGCAAAAGGGCCACCTTCATGAGGGCCCCTTAGCTGGACGAGGGCAGGGGGTTCAGTACCAGCTCCCTCATCCTGGGGTGCAGGAATTCAAGGGCCACAGGAAGAAGGCCCTTGCCCAAGCATGAGAGCATGTCCTGCAGAGTGCCTGTTTGTGTGGGGCACTTGTGGTCAGCACCTCTGGAGAGTCCCTCCTAGTGTGTCAGGTGTGGGTTTTCACTGCCCTGTGTCCTGGGGCAGATCCTAGAGAGCCACTGTAGCCTGTGTCACCCTCCCTACACCAGTGTTGAGAGCTGCTGTTGGTCCCCTTGTATCCTGGGTTATGCTGCCCATGTGTGGTATTCCCACATACCTGTAATATGACATGTCCTATGAGGCCATGGGGTTCTATGTGTATTGTGCATGGCAGGTAACTTTTCTGGATTTGGGGTGCTGGGGAAGTTGAAAGCTAGGGGATAGTGTAGAATAATTTTAGGGGGCTAGAGATCCCAAGGCACAGGATCAGGCCTGGCCCCAAAGGGTGGACACCCATCCCTCCTCCATGGGGTAGGGGCCACGACCAGAGCTTGGTCTTCTCTGGATCCCCACGGGTTGACCAACACCTTCATAGGTGCTCACTGCAATAGGAGAGAGGAGGGGAGTTGTGATGGGGGACGCCCTCATCTCAGTCCCTACCACCATCCTAGGGGACACTAGAGGCTACCCTCCCTAAGCAGCTCCAGATGTCAAGGTGGCGGGCCTGGAGTTGACCCCATATAACCTGGGGAGCCAGAAAACACCCAGAAGAAACTGCCAAGAAGCTTTGGAGAAGTTCTAGTCTCCCCCTGAGTGAATCCAACTGGCCAAGGTGGGCTGGCAGATCCCACCCAGCAGCATTAATACAGTACTAGGCCTGATTAGTACCCCCAGTGGTCCTGCCATTAGCCTTGTGCCCCATGCACTAAATAAGTCTCATCTGGTAAATCCCAAATGGGCAACCCTCAGAGCAAGATCCAGTTGCTGGATCCCACCCTGCAGTGCCCAAACTCCTGGAACCCCACCAAGGGTGAAATGCAAGCATATCCGCAGAGGTAGGCCAAGGCAGCTGTAGCCTGAGGCAGTCCCCCATTCCGGGCCACCCCACCTAAGCTGAGCAGGCCCAGGGGCAGACCCAGGCACACACCTGGCGACCTGGGCCAGGATCTCCTTGATGCGGACAATGAGCTTCTCGTGTTGGGCAGGGTCACGCTCAATGGCTCCATGCAGCCGGGCCATGTAGAAGTCCAGCGTGCTGAGTGTGGGCGTCTCACCCGTGCCTGGGGATGGCAGGGGACCGGTCAGCCAAGCCGTGTTGAAGTAGCCAAGGTAGAAGCTCCAGGGAACAGAGGTCAGAGGATGGGGCCTTTAAGGGAGGGGCCCTGGAGTAGGGGCCCTTGGAGCATGTGGGAGGGTTGGGTGAGGGGTCAGGGTGTGTTGACTGTGGGAGGAGGTGGGGGAGGGAGGTCAGTTGTCCCGGGACAGGTTGTGGTGGGGGGTATGGGGGTCTAGTGAGGGAGAGAAAATTAGTCAAAGTCAGCCAAAGACAATCTCTAAAGGTGGGGACCAACGGGGGTTGCAGCAGCAGCAGGTCAGTGAGGAGGGTCTGGCATGGGCATGGGTCAATGAGGGTGGGCCAGCAGCGCTGACCGGAGCTATGAGCAGTCAGCGGGGCTGGGGTGAGGGATGGGGGAAGGAGCTTGGGCCGGCTAGCGAGGGCAGGGGTAGGGGTTGGGGGTGGCGGGTGCATGCAATGCTGGGGGTAGGGACGGAGTTATATGGAGTGGGGCTCGGCTTGTGGAGGGAAGCGGGGTCAGTGGAGTAGGGGTTGGCTATTTTCAGGGTCAGGCAAGGAAGGGGAGACACCAGGTGCAAGACTCCCTGTGACCCAGGGTGGGGTTCGAGGTAGCTGAGGGCGGGGTTAGCGGGGCCAGGACTCAGCAAGTGGGGCCAGGGCTTCTGCACCTGGGACAGGCAGTGAGGCGAAGCTGGCAGTGAGCGCCTGGCGCACAGCCTGGAGCTGTTGCTGCAGCGCCAGCGTCCGCCGCTCCTCCAGCGCCAGCTCCTGCTCCAGGCGCTCACGAGCGCTGCTCATGTTCTGCGTGTGCCTCTGCAGCACCGCGTTCTGCTCCTCGAAGGCCACGTTCATCTT